TACTTCTGCCCTAATAGAAAAGAGTCCTATTTGAGCTTACATTTGTCCCCAAAATAGGGTCCTATTTGAACAGAAACAAGTTTCAGCATAGGAAAAATCTTGAAGAGTGCATTTACATGATTTTTAAATAATATGTAGTATATCTTGCAAGTGTTGGCTTTCATATAACAATTTTCTGGTCTTCGCGTGCATCTTGATATAATGGTAGCAATGGATTCTTTGAATTAGAAGATATGAATAAAAATGGTTGTGTATATAATCTTTGTTTTAAAGATCCCCACCCAATCCCACTTAGTAGTTAGTCCCATCTACACTAACAAGGAATCCATAAAATTATTAGTCCATTTGAGTGTTAGTCTGATGTGGCTATATAACCCTTGGTATCCTTGTATCTTGAAGTAACAAATGAAAGAAAAGTCAATCTCTCCTCTAATATCGTCATCTCTCTTGTCTATCTCTCTCTGTTCTTTGTGTGTTCTTACAAGATTCCTCGAAGCTCCTCTTCTTCTATTTGGTAGCTTCATTAAACTTGTAACACATTTTGGGAGTGAAAATGATCCCAAAACACTTAGCCAAAAAGGAATTTTAATAATCGTTTTCACTCCCCAAGAGTCTTTACCTGCTAACATCGCTTTTTAATTTCTGAGAAAACTCATTGAAAACGCTGAATTGCCGATTACCCTTATAGCCATATCCTTGCAATGATCTCAAACTCGTTGCGCCTCTGCTTGAAAACACCTGCTCAATGATTTTTTAAAATGCATCAGCCTTGTTTCAATACATAAAGAACAATAAATAATGCAAATGGGAAAGTGGCATATTTAGTCCCTCAATTATTAGTTTCCCCACTTGTAGTCTTTGGAATGTCGCCAAGTTTGTGTTTTTAGTCCTTCCATAGTTCCATAGAAGAAAACGTTAATTTATAAAATAAATATATACCTCAACCTTTTAAGGATATTAATATAATAGAATCAAATTGTAACCAAGCACTAATAATATCTATGTTTCTAAAAGGATTAAAGATCAAATGCACAAAAAAAAGTGTAACCAAGCACTAATATCCCTCTGTTTGCAAAAAAATTTAAAAAAAAACACTCTTTCCTTTTTGTTCATCCAAAAAAACACTTCACACTTTATCAATTTCCTTTTAAAATCAGAAATGAGTGGCTCACAACAATTTTTATGGGACAGAGGGAGCATTATTGCCGTGAATTTCTAAAATAATTTTACTCTTTTGTTCCATCTATACATTTTTTTTTCCTACAAATCTATGATATCAATTGTATATATAAAAGAACGCGAAGTTGATTCATCACATATAGAAGTTCAAAAAAGTCCACAGAAGAACTGATTATAAGAATCTATACTAAAATGATAAGGAAAAAATGACTATGTTAATTTATTTTTAGGAAACTCACAATTAAAAAATATTGAAATGAAACCTGATGAGGCTCTATGAGCTTATGAACAATGAGTGGTCTTTTGGAGAGCAAAAAATCTCGAACTAACTTTCTGCTAGCCATTGGAGTCCTGAGAACGAGTTTAACCCTTCTGTATCCTTGCGCATAATCTTATATCCCTACCATCTTATACCTTTGAGCTTTCAAGCAGATACTGACACAGAAAAAAAAACAGTTCTTTTTACAAACTCTGAATCAATCCCATCTCTATTTGGGAAAAAAATAGGCTTTTTAACTAGTGGGCATTGAGAATCAAAGAAACAAGAACCATGGTTCATAAAGAAACTTAGAAAGAATTAATCAGCCGGTAAGAAATAATAAGAACTGCAATCAAATTGAAGAAACAACGCATACCTAGATGGTGTGCAGTGGGGGAGGCGAAGAACTGACTCAACTGAGGACCTAGATCGCGCTTGTGGGTTATGGCGCAGGAATTGAACCGGGTCTTCAGTTTAAACCCATACGATTTTCTCTTCTTTTTTTTCTTTTTGGGTTTAAACCCTTAAACGATTTGTGATTGTATTTGTACCTAATGGCGTGGAAAATACAAACTAGCTTGTGAAATAAGAAATCATTTGTCATCTTTTTTTAAGTGCTATTTCGGACAAAAAATCAACATTTACAGTTAATATTTTGAAAAAAATTATTTGACGAGATCGTTTAGTTGTTATACTTTTAAAGTAAATATACATTAATCCCTCCGTCTTGAAATGATTTTTCTAGTTTGGTTTACAAGGTTTGACTGAAAATATTTTAATTTAATTATTTGATTATAGATTTATAGGCATACAATTAAAAAAAGGTATATCTTTTGAAACGACATCAAAATTTCTACAACACAAGAAGTGACATGGTTATAATATTTTATCAAATAACTAACAAAAATAGATAAACAAAGAGTTAAAGTGATTAAAGTTTGACAATGTGAATAATGACTGAAAGATTATTTTAGAATGGTGAGTATTAAAACTTGTTATAAAACACTGACATCAATTTAAAAAAATTATTCACAAACAAAACCTTTGTTGAGACTTTCAAGAATAGATCTAGTGGAGATAAATGAAATTCAGAATTAAAATAAGAAGATAAAAATGAATGAATGAAGACACAGAGTGTATCTGTATTTTATCTTAAGTGACTATTAAGAGATTTTAAATACATTAAAAAATGAACGAAGACACAAAAGCGTGTCTATATTCATTCAAATTTTTAAATTTTCTAAAAAATCACAATGATCGTTTAATATGGAATGAAGTGAGTACTTTGTAAAATTTGTTTATTAATTTCATCTGAGTTTAAAAATTTTCGAATAAATTTTTAAAAATGAATACACATTATTGAAATGAAAATCTTATTAAAACATTATTTCTAAACTCAAATAAATGTTAATGTATAATTTAAATGTTATTGTCATATTCACCCTTGTGCAAGTATTTGAATGAATTTTTGTTATGTAAAATGGGAATTCTCCTGATGTCATTTATGTTTTTTGTTCATCATCATATATTCATATCTTCTCGAATTTCATAATCGTTATTATTGTTATGTATTTTCTTTTTTAAATGGATTTTTCACGATCTTTAATGTAACACGTTGACCATTAATATTTTTACTTATATTACGGAGTAATAAACATAGAATATAAAAATATGATAATTTAAAACTACATTTCAAAATAAATGTATTGATATAAAATTTATATCATAATTTTATATATTTTCATTTATTTTGTTGTCAAAGTTTTAAAAAGGTAGATCAAAATACATGAGAAAAAAGATATACAACATAGGAAGTATATTCCGAGGTATTGATAACTAGACAAAGAAAAGAATTTAATACTCTAATTACTATTTATATTGTTAACCTTGGTTTTATTTATTTGATAAAATTATATAGTTATGTCATTGCTGTTTTGTAGAATCTTTAATTTAGCTTTAAAATGGAAAAATTTTATAATTAAATTATACCCAAATTTTCATAAATTAAAGATTCTATTTTCATGGGTTGCATGTGGTTTTTTTTTGCAAAGGCCTACTTTTTATGTTATAAATATACTAAGGTTCATAAAAGATACATAGACCTTGAGTCTACGGAAAAATTTGTCATCTGACTCTCCTTTTAAGTTGAAACTTTTTTTAATTTTCAAGTTACTACGTATTATCTATAAATACCATTCTCATATATTTTTAATCATTATTTATATGTAAAGTAAAAAATTAAAAATTTTTTGGGTGTAATATTGAGTGACTTAGTATTTCTTACGAGTATAATAATTTTTATGTCATTTTTATATTATAAAATGTAAAAACACTGTGGACCATATTTTAATATTAAGACTAAAAATATAAATTTTATTTAATTTTTCATAAATAAACTATCTTGTTTTATTATAATAAAAAATATGCATATAAAATAAATTTATGACAAATGAGGTTCAATATTTAAAAAATAAGAGAAAATGTGAGAAATTCTTAAAGTAATGTGAGGAAAATTAAGAGTAAAAGTGGGGTGAAATGAAAAAGAAGCTAAGAGAGAAAAGAGGAAAGTTAGATGAAGTGGTAAGATACTACCGGAGTATCACTTTTTAGTGTCTTTGTTTTCTTTTGTGTTTCTATTTTTTCATTTATGTTTCTTTTTTCATAAAGTTTTTTAAAAGTTTCATCTAGAAAATTGTTTTAAAATTCAAATTTTTATATTTATATAAAAATAAATGAAATAAAAACCTTATCAAAAAAGAAAATTGGATCTTTTTTTATTTTTAATACTTGATACAAAGTAGTAAAAAAATCTTGAAGACTTTCTAAGGAAAAAAATTTGCTTTATTTTTCAATGTTTTTTTAAATTTTACTTAGTCTTTTCTTTTTTTAGGAATTTTTTTTATTTCATTTACTTTTATGTAATACAAACAATTCTGAATGTTTCATACAATGAAGAAATTTAAAAAAACATTTAAAAAAAGTGTAAAAACAAAAAAGAAAAACAAAGAAATAAAAAATGAAAGACCTAGGAATTATTAACATTAAATATTAAAGATAAAATAGAAAAAAATACAACAAAATGTAATTAACTTGAGTAAATTCCATAAAAGGTCCCCAGTTATAGGTCATTTTACATATTTAGTCCCTATATATCAAATATTCCTAATTTAGTCCTCCATTATTATATTAATTTCCACGAATAGTCCTTTGTTAACATTTCCGTTAAGAACATAGATAAAATTATAAATTCACACGCCTATCTCTCCTCAATTAAGCTTCCTCCCTCCTCTCGTACTCTTTCATAAACGCGTCACTGAGTTTGAAGCTCTAAACCCAAAACTGAAATGATCATTCCTTTCTCAATTATTAGTCTTCTTGGTGGAACCTAAAATCAAAATTAATAGGCTTTATGGATGCGTTTTATCAGTTAGTCTCAAGAAATTACAAAGAAAATAAACATTAAAACTCATTCATTAAGGTTACTGGTTTCGAGTTTGGAAAAGTATTGATGGAATTTACTAACTTTATCGTTATTTCGAAGTAATTTTCTGTAAAAAGATGGTGAAATTGAGTTTTCCTTCTCTTTTTCAAGAAAACCTCCAAATGCTTCTCCGATCATCTCCTCCGCTACAGACTCAGCTGTCCTCATTTCATCTCAATTTCTAGGGTTCAAACCCGAATTAATCTCTACTAAATCACCCGCAATGGCCGAAGAAATGAATCACTCTCAATGTCTTAGAACTATGGCGGCTGAACTCTAAAGCCGCCGCGGCCAGATTCGAATCCGACGCGAAGGTGACCGGAGCAGTACAGAGGCTGGATGATGAGGAGAAAGAGGAAATCCCGACGGAGATAGACACCGTGAAATGCTCCGGCGGGTTCTCGGTGGTGATAGTTTATTAATATCATAGAAGTGGATTTTATCTCTTGCATGGGTTTACAAGCCTTCTTTTCTATTTAGAGGGTGTTTGGGAGTGTGTTTGAAAAGAACTTTTGAGCTTGGACTTCATTGAAACACAATTTTAAGTGTTTTCCAATCAGCTTCAGATTATGGATTGTGGTTTTAGAAGTGTAAATTATGCTCTAAAAGTGATTTTCGCCAAAGCTCGGAGTAATTGCTTTCCACTTCTGATTTAAGACATATGCTTTTTCAAGACTCACCGCACTCACAGACACTGCCTCCCTATTGTCCCAAATTAATCTTAGCTTTTCCCTTTATGGTCCTTTGTGATTCATCTCAAGGAAACAAACATTTGGTCCAATCGTTTGATGTTGCATTTTTTGTCTTTCCTTAAAAGATAAATCCCAACCATACAAATTCTCGTTTCCTTATAAGTGTGTGAAGTCCAAATATCAAAATTTAACCTAGGATGGAGTACCATTTAACCAACATCTAAGTCCAAGCATAGACATCATATATGTTGTTCTAGTAAATAGGATATGGCTCTAACATCCTAAAATCTTATATGTTGTTCTTTTAACAGGGTCATTCTGTTTATTTCGTTCATCAACGATCTAATCGTGCTGCCGTGTCCGAGTGGTTAGCATTTGGTTTATCTTTTTCCACTTTGGTGTTATTACAATAGGCCTTCACTTGCAGTTGGGAAGCAAACAGTTATGGGTATCATGGTGATGATGGGTTGCTTTATCGGGGGTACGGGAAGGGGGAGGCATTTGGCCCAACTTATACAGCCGGTGATACTGTTGGCGGAGGCATTAATTATGCATCACAGGAACTCTTTTTCACGTAAGACCATGTCTTACTCTTTTCATTGGTGGAAGCCAATTTGAACATGACTAGTGTTTGACCTTTAAATTTTTTGGGATAATTGATTCACAATGGATATAGCTTAATGAGATGATTGTTTCAATGCTTCAATGATATTTTCTGAATACTAGCTATTCCGTAATGCTTCCTTTACACTTTGTATGTATTTTGTTTATTTCTGGTGGCAGGAAAAATGGGACAATAGTAGGAACAGTTTCGAAGGATGTAAAAGCACCATTATTTCCAACCGTAGCTGTTCACAGTCAAAATGAAGAGTATGAAGAACATTCATGTGAATGATTTGTTACTTGTTAGCCGTAAATCCTAATTGGCTCACTTATCTTTTGAATACTTTGTATGTATAATACAATTACATCATTTTCAATGTTCTGCCTCTGGATTCTATAATCTGCATTGCTCTCTCATACATATTCTCTGATTGAGTTTAAATGGGTTGAGAAACTTGGGCTAAAAATAGCTCATCGATGTATATATTTGACCTCTTACTCCCATGTTGACGCTACCTTTTCAGGGTTACGGTGAACTTCGGAAAAGATCCATTTGTATTCGATCTAAAGGTAAATATTTCATCTCTCATAATACTAGGTTAAATTACTATTTTTTGCGCACATATTCTCTTGTGTATGCTAAGAAACTACCTGCACATACATTAGACCACGCATCTAATAGCCTTATTTTCTTGCATTTCCTTATCAATTTGTTGATATTCTGATGACCAACCATTCATTCAGGTTTCCTATAATACATGGTTTTTAACAACAAAAACTAAATAGAGTATACTTCCCATGTTCGTACTACTACAAAACACGCAGTTTAAGAAAATGTAATCGGGCAATAAGTTAATCAAAAATATTATGGAGTACTAATTAATGTAAAGTTCTTTCATCATAAGCCACTCTCCCGTTTATGTTTATTTTGGAAAAAATGGTTAACTGAATAGCATAAGAAGTTTAGATTGGGAAAGACTATCAAATGCGCATATATTTCAAAGTTGGACAGATTATACTAAGTATAATAATCTGCTTGCACAGTGCCTGGAACAAGTGAAATGTGATGTGTTATTGTCTTCCTTTAATCCATGTTTGGAGTTTGCTAAATGGATGAGAAGTAAGAATAATTCCGAAAAGGCGGAAAATACTTTATTCATATCAGTTTCTTGTACAGTTTTAATGTATCATCAGATTCTTTGTCCGTAGGTTGAAACTTATAATAGGCTACTAATCTTAACTTTTAAGAAGTAGCATGACCATTATCCAACCTGTACAAAATTGCTATTTGCCAAAGAAATTATGTTTCACCAGCAGGTTTATTACATTTCTCAGAATTGTTCGCTCCTACTTGCAACATTATGGCTATGAAGCTGCAAATGTTTGATATCAAGGTGAAGGCTTCCATTTACGCCGCATTCGTTACAATGGTAAGAATGAGGTTTAAAAGCTTCTCTGCAGGGGCCAAACATTAGATTTGTTTAAACCATTTTAGTTTCAGGTTTTCTTGATCAGAACTATAGGTGTACAGTTTCCTTTTCTTCTTCTTTTTTTGTGGGGGATTATATTGTGTGTGACATTACAAGAATCTACTCCAACTTTTGAATTGATTAGCTCATTTGTGCCTTGCTTTGTTAATTTTTTTACTCTACATGGATATTGTAGGTGGCATTCAGATTTTAGGCAGCGTTCCGTTCAACTTTCTACTTATTACTTATTCTTATTATAATCAGATCAAATCAGATCAGAAACAACTTTAATTATAACTGAAAACAGATCAGATTAGATCAGATCAGATAAGTTCTTCAAAAAATTAGATCCGATCAGGCGAACGGTACGCAGCTTTAGTTGGCATTTGTGATTTTTTTTACTTGCAAGTATTAACATAACCTTCTTAACATTACCAAGATAATCTCATATGAACCGAAAACCAAACGCCCCTTTAGTACTTGGAGTTTATTTTGCACTAACAACTTTAGCTTTTTGGAAAAGCCACCCAGTAAAGTATTTAGTTTTATAAAATACAAACTGAGAAAAGTTTATTTTCTCTAAATAAATTAGAGAAAATATGTGATTGGGGATGTGTCCATGACTTCGTCTCGTGTTTTTTTATTTCAATTACAATGAAAAATATGTTATTTATAACTTAAAAATTGAAGAAACCCCAAAATTGCCAAAATAACGTTGTTTTGATACTTAAGCCAATATCTCTTCTTCTGATCTGAATAATTTTGATTTAATTGCAATAAATTTTGATTAGATCTAGTCTGAGAGGTGTATATATATATATATATATATATATACATACATATATATACATATATATACATATACATACATATATATATATATATAATACACACACATAATAATTTATAAAAAATAATTTATAAACTATAGTTATGAACATAACAGTTGTAATAATAATAGTAATAATAATAATCAATTAAAAATATATTGTGTTTAGAGCAATTGGTTGGGAAGTAGAAAAATTTTTTGAAGAAAATGAAAATAATTGAAAGAAACTGGAATGAACTAAAATAACATGTTCTAAAAAACAATTGAGTTGGGGAGTATACGAACTGGAGAAGATATGATTGGGCCATCAAGTGATATTCAAGTACTCCGTATAAAAGAAAGAAAACAAAACAATAAAAAATAACCCGGGGGCCATGGTGTGGCCCACTTTTTGATGGTCTGAAAGGCCCAAATGGTAGTAACCTGGTCCGGAATGTAAGTACTAACCATTTTTTTAAAAAATATTTATAATTTAAAAATTTAATAATTACGGAGTATATTATAAAATTAAAATATAGTTTTATTAGAATGTAAAAACTTTTTTTGGAACTATTGTAAAAAAATTTATTATCATAAACGAGCTCGTTTGAAGTACAGAGTTACGGAGCATATCAGCATTTACTTGTCCCATTTTCTTTTTTTATTCATTCCAAAATAATTTTTTCATTTTTTGTCTTGTAGAACAAAATACTCCCTCCGTCCCAGAATACTTATCCACTTTCATTTTTACACACCATCCAATGCACTTCTTTAATCCATTTTATCTTGTAATGTGTATATTAAAAAATTATAGAAATTACTCTGTATATATTAATAATCTATATGTTAAGACAAATTAAACAAGATCACACATGACTATATTTAGGCTTACACATTGAGAGAATTTGATGAGTCAAAGTACTTAGATGAACAGTTCCAAAAGTCAAATGTGGACAAAAACTGGGGGACGAGGGAGTACATTTTTTCCCTTCAATTCTAGGCAAAGTATAACCACTCAGGCTTTACATAACATCTTTTCTACGTTTTTCTTAGACTTTGTTCATCTGATGTTAGTTCTTAACTTTCAATATTTTTTAACTCATTCTAATTTCTTCAAACTTTTTCAGTCTCTTCTAACTTTTTTCAATTCCTCACGGTTTATTCCAACTTCTTCCACCTTCTTTCCAACTTCTAGGTTTTTCAAACTCTTTTCAATTTCTTTCAACACCTAATATTATTTTTACAACTGAAACGTGCAGAGCCCTAATCTCCATGAGATGTAAGTGAAAATATTAATTTTATATTGAGGGAGCCACAATGTGCAAAAATATTTTTTTTTCTTTTATCTCTTTTATCACAAAAATACTCTGTAGAATATGATTTATTTTTTTTAGATGGGCAAAAAAAATTAGTGAATGATTTTGAATAGGGGAGAGTTGGAGAGTGTGTGGAGCCCAGCCCAGCCATAGGAAGGAGAGAAGGCAAGTGCACAAGGCCAACTCATTATTGTACAATATTTATTAGGACTAATAACAAATAAATGTGGAGTATTATTAAAAGTGGAAACCACATGTACCAACAACCTACCAAATCCTTTTCCCCCTTATCTCCTCTTTAATTAACTAACTACTCTCCCTTCCAACTTCAGTCAAATCTTTAACTCACCCCCCACACCTTGTGTTTCCCAACTCTTTCCAAACTGTTGGCTTCCCCCTACCCCTACCCTACCCTACCCTACCCCCCACACTCATCAATCAATCTATCCACCTTCCCACTTCTTGTGGGCCCCTCGCTAACCTAGTTCCACACACCAAAACATGTAGAAAAACACAAATGTGGGTAAAATAAAGGTAGGGTATACTTAAATGATATACTCCATTTGCAATCCACATATACATAATTATCTATATTGCTCTGTTGTACAAATGGGGTAGATTATTATGGTGTACCATAAGTATATCGCATTTGAGTAGCGTGTTTAAGCTCCTACTTACGAGTATTGTCTAGTTGGTCAATAGAGGATGCAAAAAAATTGAATTATACGCGGATTCAATATTTGGCAATGATGATGACGAACGTTCATGGGTAACATGAAGTCAGATCACTTTTGTTATTGATCAGTCTAATAAGATTAAAGTACAATTTATTTCTTTCCAAATTACTGCTCAGAGCGATTATGCATGACCCTAGAATAAGATTCATTTTTCTTTTGTTCAACCCATGGCATTGTTTTTAAAATTAAAAATATATCTGTGTTGGTGAGACGATATAAAAAATAAATTGTGAAGATTAATTTGAGATGAATAAAATATTTTTTAGATATGTATTCCTAGAACTAGCTAGGAATCATAGGCCATACCTTAGTCCAAGTCTACAAGAGACCTATGCATAACATGTGAGAGTGAAAAAATACGGATTATGTGGATTAGTTTTTTGGTTAATTGGAATTTTAAAATGGGGAGAGTATCAAGTTCAAGATTTTCTTTTTTCTTAGATGCATGGAAGGAGTGAAAGAAGAGTTAGTTGTAGGAAAATGTCCAAATAAAGGGACAAGAGGAATAATTAACCACATTGGAATAGCAATTTCAAACCATCACCCCCTCACCCAATACTCCTCACAAATGTGTAACCACGCACAAAGATGTTAATTGTTATATGTATGTCTGTGACAAAGGTGGTGTATAAGTGAAAGATAAATGTGGGCCAATATATCCCCTAGTTGGAGTTCCTTTTTTAATCATTCTAATTTTACTTTTAAGATCAGTTCTTAAAAACTTTGACTATAAATTATGAAAAAGATACATTAAATTGTGATATAAATTTAAGATCAATATATTTATTTTAAAACATATTTCGTGGTTTTGAGATATTACATACTTCGCAGGAACTTTTGTTTATTTGTAGTTTTTCATTGATTATTTGAATTGAATAAATACAACTTTTATATTTTTTAAATATGTAAATTTTATTTTTTATTTATATATCAATTTTTAAATAAAATAAATTGAAAAAAAACTTAAGATTTTAATTGGTTTTAAATAAAGAATAAGTGATTTGCGGACAGAAGGGAAGAAGTATAAGTTGTCATCCATATATATATATATATAGACAGGAGTAGTGTGTCTGTCAGTCTTATCCACGACGACTAGTATATATAATACATACAGTATATATGTGAAGCAAAAAAAAGAACAGAACAGAATAGAAGGAAAGAAAACAGGGGCGAAACGAAGAAGAAGAAGAAGAAGAAGGAGGAGGAGTGAAGTGAATAATTAATCAATAATAATCATAAATATAAAAAAGAAGAAGCTAAGAAGAAAATTAAAGAAGAATGGGGCGGTCACCATGTTGCGAGAAAGCACACACGAACAAAGGGGCGTGGACGAAAGAGGAAGACCACCGCCTCATCTCCTACATCCGCTCCCATGGCGAAGGCTGCTGGCGCTCCCTCCCTAAAGCTGCTGGTAAATTTCATTAAAATAATTAATTGTTCTTGATCTTGAAGATATATTATTATTATTATTATTATTTAATTTGATTGGATTGAAATGAATGGGGGAAATGGATGGATGGATGCAGGGTTGCAGAGATGTGGGAAGAGTTGCAGGTTGAGGTGGATAAACTACCTGAGGCCTGACCTCAAGAGGGGCAATTTCACCCCTCATGAAGATGAACTCATCATTAACCTCCATTCCCTCCTTGGCAACAAGTATATATGTGTTTATTTACTCCCTCCCTCCGCCCCCAAATTGATTCCAATTCCGATCTTTTTTCTCTCATTTCTCGAGAATAACTTTTGTTCTTTTGCGTGTTTTCTTTGATTGTTTGGTACTATAAAATAAAACATTCGTGTCATCTCTTGTTTTGTAAACATTATGGTTGGATTTGGTGAAAGTTCAAAGTTGTGATTTTTTATGCTTCTTTCTTTCAACACTCCATTAATTGGTTATTCATTGTATGTTGAAGTGTGTGGGAAACTAACTTGAATTCATTAATTACCCATATACTCCCTAGTATATTTGTGATTTTTTGAATTCGAACTAAACAAACTATAATCACTGTTTGTAGCAAAACAAAATTCAAAAGACATATTCCATTACTCCGTATATAAATATGCACTGTAACTTTTGTCTAATTAATAATCAGAATTTCGTGGATTTAATAGTTTTTTTTTAACTATGCAGATGGTCGTTAATTGCGGGAAGATTGCCGGGAAGGACGGATAACGAGATAAAGAACTATTGGAACACACACATTAAGCGCAAGCTCCTCAGCCGTGGCCTGGACCCACAAACCCACCGCCCGCTCAACACCTCCGCCGCCTCCGGAACCGCCGCCACCGCCGCTGCAGCAAAGGACATTTGCCTGGACTTCAGGAGCGCAACCCCAACTGCGGCGGCGGCGGCGTGTTCGAACGAAGACACGAAATGCAGCAGCGGGACGACGACCGAGGAGCCTCGGCCCTCGAAACCACAACCGCCGTTCGATCTCGATTTGTCCATGGGCCCATCGCCGCCGCCCGCCGCCGCCGCTGATGTCCCCTCCACTTCCAACTCCGCGGAGTCGGTGCCGTCGTACGATTTTAAGACGGCGCCGCCGCCGGTTTGCTTGTGCTGGCAATTGGGGTGTCCCCAAAGTGGCACCATGTGTAGCAAATGTCATACTGACACATACAAATGGTTTGATTGACATTATTAGTTATTGATTAGCCACTTTAATTTGGGTGCTTAATTAGGTGATCATTTTAGGGTCCGTTTCTGATTCCCCAAATTGTAATCATGGCCTCAGAGTCTTAATCTAATCACTACTCGTTTTAAAGGTCCAATTCCTTATAATACTCTCTCCGTCCCACTGTTTTTGTCCACTTACCTTTTGGCACATCATCCAATGCACTTCTTTAATCCATTTTATCTTGTAATTTGCATATTAAAAAATTATAGAAATTATATATTAATAATCTATATGTTAAGACAAATCAAACAAGACCACACATGATTATATTTAGGCTTATACATTGAGAGAATTTGATGAGTCAAAGTGTTTAGATGAACAGTTCCAAAAGTCAAATGTGGACAAAGACAGTGGGACGGATGTAGTATTATATTAGAGTTATATTCATTCTAATTTGTTTAATTATAATAGTAGAGTTAAAAGTTTGCTTTTATACACTTAACTGTTATGGAGCACAAAATAAATTTTCCAAAATATGAAGTGATATAACTCTATTCTTTTTTGAATACTTGTCACTAAAATTATACTCCTAATTTAAATCGTCTGTTTCAATTTACGATGTTTGACTAACGTTATTTTCAAATCATTTAATATGAAAAGCGAATTAGAATTAAGAAATAGATATCAAATATTTAAAAATTACATCAAAAAATTTATAAAACTAGTAATGATATGAATTTACTCCGTATTATTTTATCAAATGACTAACAAAAATCAAGAAAGAAAGGGAAGTATCAGGGTTGTGTTGTAAACTTGTCATTGGTAAAAGTAAATCTGTGAGGTCATGTCTGCTTAAATTAAACTACATTTGACTCTCTAAAGTCTTGGTGTGGACCACCTTTTTTTAAGGCTAGGTGTAATTTAATTTGGGTGTTTATGTTTGAAAGTAACGTTTTCAATTAGCGTTAGCTTTTTAGATAAAATTATAACAGTGTAGATTAATTCGGAAAATGCTAACGTAAATGCTACTGTCAAATAATCTTTTCAAAACGTTAATTACTATTAGATAACATTTTTAAAACGCTAACGCTAAAGGCTTATTAATTTAGGACGTATGGAGGGTTATGTTGTAAGCTTGTCATTGGAAAAGTAAATCATGTGAGGCCATGTCTGTTTAAATTAAACTACATTTGACTCTCTAAAGTTTTGGTTTGGACCACCTTTTTGTTAGGGGTAATTTGGGTGTTTATATCTCATCCCTAATTTATAATTTAGAAAAATGCTAGACTCACAAACATTTCGGTCACAAAATACACAACTTTGTCATTTGTGCACCTCACCAAGTGAATAAAATGATGTTAAATAATTAAAAAGTAGACATTTAAATACACAAATAGTAAGTTTGTGTATTTTGTGACCAAAATATTTGTGACTCTAGCATTTCTCTATAATTTAACTACTCTTTTTTGGAGTATTCTTTTTCTTATTTGATATAATAATATTGTAAATTACTTATTCTTTTGTAAAATTTTAAATCTAGCTTTAAAATAAATTACTTTATTTTTCACATTAAATTTTAAATGAATTATGGAGTCATTTAAAAATAAATTTAGTTAAATATGATAAGAAGGGATGCATGACGGTAAGAGAGTATTTAAAATTGGAGAGAGAGCACATGATAGGACTATAGGAGTATTTTACTAGCATATTAAAATGTACTCCGTAAATAGGTGCATGAATGTGTGTTTTAAATTATTCACCCCAAGACAACAACCTAAATATATGTGCATGGGTGTAGTCAAAGTTATGGAAGTTTTCTAGAAAAAAGCTGAGGTAAGGATAGATGATTTGTAAATTTGATTGAGCATATGTTCACAAATAAAAGTCATTGAATTTAAAAATTTACTATTTATAGTTTAAGTACTCATTTTGAAATTATTTTGGGCTATTTTATTTTTTATTGAAGCTCAAAAATAATAAGTTTATGAGATTTATGACCATTTTGTTTGTGAACCAATCATTTCTCAATTTGATTTGGTATAGTCGAATCTAAATATAGAGTACATTTTTTTAAGGGGAATTTACTGAAATAGCACTAAAACATAATGACTTTTCCTAAATAGAATCACATGTATTTTTTTTCAATGTAGCACTTTTAGTACGTCATTATGCATTAGTCATTATTCAAGTAAATATTCGCCTTCACTAGACATTATGGACATTATTAAGTGTTATTTGGGGAATAAAACAGTTTAACTACTCCGTACTATTTAGGAAAATGACTTAAATTTTAGTACTATTTAGTGGAAATATTTCTTTTTTAATCTCATTTAAATACAAAGCACTACTTCTGTCCCAATATATTTTTTAATCTAGTTTTTACTTTTTTTTAAATCAAACAGAATGAATTTTGTGTTTCAACTATTTTGTATAATTTTCGATGTAACTTTTATATAGAAAAGCTGTACTTATTATCTTTATATCAAATTTTGAATAAAATTATTTTAAAGAGGATAAAATTTTTTCAGACTGTTTAAAAATATGATTAATCAAGAATGAAGGGATGCCTTTTAAAGAAAATATACAAATAATTATGTTTTCATTAATATTAAAAAAGAAAAGTGTGACAATTAAATAGAGATATTATTGGGGGGAAATCTCAAAAATGCCTAAATGGAAGAGTAGAAGAGAACAGTTGGGTTAGTTAAAGGTGGGTTTGGTTGGTTGGTTGGTAGAGTCATGTGCTAATGTACTGTGGAATTGGATTCCCATACTTCTCCATATTTAATTATTGGGAATAAATTAAAAAGATAAGGCAGATTTTTGGCCAGCCAAACATTGCCTAGTTGGAGTACATGATCCTAGCTACCTACCTACCTACTTATCTAGCTTCAATATCTCATCTTGTCCACACATCAATCTTTTTTTTCCGGAATGCAAAAATATTTTCAAATGAAAAAAATTACTCCCTCCGTCCCCCAGTTTTTATCTACTTTTAACTTTTGGAACTGTTCATTTAAGCACTTTGACTCATCAAATTTTCTCAATGTGTAAGCCTAAATATAGTCATGTGTGATCTTGTTTGATTTGTCTTAACATATAGATTATTAAAATATAATTTCTATAATTTTTTAATATACAAATTACAAGATAAAATGGATTAAAGAAGTGCATTGGATGGTTGTAAAAATGAAAGTGGACAAATACTCTGGGACGGAGGGAGTATATTTTTTAAAAACAACATCAAAAGTTTTATTAAATGAGAAGTGACAAGAGTATTTTATTTATCAAATGATTAATGAAAAATATGTAAACAAACAAAAATTGTCGAAAGACTATAATACTCCCTCCGTCCTAAAATTATCTTCCCAATTATTATTCACACAGTCAAACTTAAATGACTTTCTTTACCTACTTTCGTTAGTTATTTGATAAAATAATATAGTCTTGTCACCTCTTGTTTTGTAGAACTTTTGATGTAGTTTTTAAATATAAAAATTTATTTTTTAATTTTACACCTACAATCAAAAAAATTGAATTGAAAATAATGTCAGTCAAACCTCGTAAACACAAACAAGAAAGTGATTTTAGGACGGAGGGAGTAATAAAGAGGTACTACGTATTTCATATGGGGATGGAGGGAGTATTTTTACAAAATATGTGTTGTCCAAAATATTTTTTTATATCTTAAATGAATACTAACCCCTCATTTTACATAGTTCAAAATATTGTCAACAGTTATCAATATTTTTTCTTTGAACTTAAAATAAAAAATAAACTTAATTTGAGATGGATGAAGTATAATCATTTTTTAGAGAACTTGTAAAATCACAAACAAAGTATTCTCAGAAACTTAACAAAAATTTAAATAATAGTCCTAAACGATTAAAACATAAAACCTAAAATACACAAATGACAAGATTTTAAATTTTGTAAGTGCTTTACTTATGAGTCTAGCATTTCTCTATTGTTTAATGCCACCGGCCATACCAACTTAAATCGTATGTTCCGGTTTACGATGTTTTACATAAATTATTTGCAAGATAATTTATATGAGAATTGGGGTAGAATAAAAAATAAAATTATACATATTTAAAAGTAAATCAAAACTTCTGCAAAATAAGATGTGATATGACTAAATAACGAAAAATAAAGAAATAAAGTAAATGAACTTTAGTTTTATGGTTAGTAAACATGTAACTCGGAATAAAATAAGCAAAAACCAATGGAACGATTAAAATATTGAGTATTTTCCAAGATGGAGGCTGATGTACGTATTAATATATTTTCTCCTTCCCACAAGTAACTTTCGAACGTATATAATATAATCATATCATATTTTGTAAAATTTGAATGCTCTATATATAATACGGAGTATAATTATGTCATCTTTTGTTTTTAATATTACGTATATTTTTTTATAATTTTTAAATATATTCTCGTAAATTTTATTTTTAAGTTTTTACAGCAATTTTAACAAAAAATTAAATTGAAAACAAATCAGTCAACAATTATAAATTAGAAAAAGGATTTTATTTTTTTGGACGATGGAAGTGCTTTTTAACCCATTTTCAAATAGTAAGATTCCGGTTTAGAAAATCTAGCCGTGGTACCACCTTGTACATTTAAATACTCCCTCCCACGTGAGTACAAGAAACATTTTACTTTTGGTTTTACCGATTCCCTAAAAAGATACTCCATATTATAATATATTTCATTTTTAAAAATTAAAATAAATGACTAAAACAAAATCACTCTCTTTGGCATTCCAAAAAAATTACTCTTTTTCAATCAAATTTTAATTATTCATACTTTTTTCAAAAAATATTTTTTCAAGTTCCAAAAAAGTTTTATCTTTTTTTTTTTATAAGGTAGAGGGAATATTTTATGAGAGGTTGGCCTCCGGACCAAACAAAATTCATGGGTCAAAGAATAGAAATAAAGTCAAGGATTTGTTCCTCTTATTTGTCTTGTGTTTTACACTTGCCAATTTGGAATATAGAATAGAAAAATAGAACAATGGTCAGTGTAACTACAGATATTACACCATGATTTACCCTTATATATTTTCAGCGACATCACTTTTCATAAATGGATATATCTAAAAAAAATTACAACAATTATATTTGTGATAATATCATCGACATTACATATATAGGCTATGTTCTTTAATGTTAGAAAAACTAACTTTCAATTTTTTTCAATTCTTTCCTATTTTTTCTAATTGCTTCTAGTTTCTTCTAACTCATTCCAGTTTCTTGCAACGACTTAAAATATGTACTTATATATGATGAATATAAAATAACATAAAAAGTTTGAATTTATAACATCCCACAACAAACATAAACAATGATGATTTCTTTTTTATCTAAAATTAAAAGTTTCTTACATATATATGTATTTGGGTGATCATTTAATTGAGTGAATTTTTAACACTTAAACTGTTTCAGCATTTTTCAACTTCTTCCAACTTTTTCTAACTCCTTCCAATTTCTTCCAACATCCAATTTTAAATTTCAATAAAAAAACAGAGCTATAATAGGTAAATGATTATATTGAAACACAAGAGAAAAAAAGGTTATTAATTAGAATAATCACCTTAGAAAAAGAGGTCATTAATAAATCAGCTTTCTTAAAACTTATCCACATCTTATACACTGGGTTAAGTTAGGCCTTTGGGTTCGGCCCAAAGGGATTTACTTTCTTTATTATTGGGCTTTCGAATTCGGATTGGTCTTTTTTTTTGGCCTGCTTACACCTTATTTTAAGTAACTTGGTGGGTTTCACAAAAAAAAAAAAAAGTAACTTGGTGAAGACAAAGAAAGTTTCAATAGAGAGGAATATTTAAATAAAATAATAAAACATAATCACTTCCTTTGTGTATACTTAAGGGCATATAGACCATCTTGTGGTGTTCTTCTGACATTGGATCTGAGTGTCACAACAAGACGACACCGAACGCATCAGTTGCGAGTACTCTATTTACGTTCCGCTATTAGCTTCGAGACCGAGTACTAGTTAATATATCTCTGTCACAAAAATTTATATATGGTCGTACAAAATATATTAAATGACTTATTTTGAAAATACGAGTATTAGTAACACATTTATATGGTACACTATATTACACTATATTATCTATAACATAGAGATATATTCTCTTAATAAAAGTATAAAACCACGCTAAAAGTATTCCGTACATATGATATATGTTTTATTTTGCAATACGAATATGTGTCGCACAGTGTATGTGCATATGTTTATTTTTTAATATTACATTCATATATACCCGATCATAATTGATGCGCACGATCGACTTTTATTTCATTATTAATTATAATAATTATAGTAATTAATTATTTAATTAATTATAATTAATGGATCAACAGATGAGAGCACCCTTTGAAGTGTAGAGATGGCAGCGGGTGTTTTGAATTTTACAGCAATTGGTGCACACATTTTTGGTCTTCTTGTTGTTTGGTTGGCAGATCATATAGGCCGCGTTTGGGTTGCATTCTTGAGTGCAAATTTGAGCATTTACTTGTTCCACATTATTCCCCATCAAAATTATACCTACATGTCACATTATATGTATTATGTATATATATACACATGTAAAATAATGATAATTTATAAGTTGCACGGAGTATATTATATATAGAGATTTTGATTCTCGTGAGAATGAATATCTTGAGAAAGAAAAAAAGAATGCATGTGGTGATTTAGAATATGAGATCTAAGACCATAAAAAATTGAAATTAAGAAAAAATCAGAAAAAAACAGAGTGACAGTTTTGCAATTAGATCGAACTTTGTAAAATGTACTACATGTAAAATGCAACATTCTTATTTTTTTCACCAAAGTCCATTAATTCTTACGGGAACCGGTCCTTACATATATATATCAGGCCCGCCCAATTAGTCTGAATGGCCTTGTGCAATTTAAAAATATTGGCCCTAAAATCATGAAATCAAGAACAATGATACTCCCTCCGTCTCTAAATAGATTACAATCTTTTTTTCTCTCTTCTCTCGATAACTTTTGTTTGTTTACGCGATTTCATTAAGTATTTGATAAAATAAAATATTCTTGTCACCTCTTGTTTTGTAGAACTTTTGACGTAGTTTTTTAATATGTAATTTTTATATCTTATTGATATATCAATTTGTAAATAAAATAATTTCAAAAAGTAGGAAATTTTTCTTCGTAACTCGCAATTTGTAATTTATTTAGGGACGGATGAAGTATAAGATATTTAAAAAAATAAGTCCATTATAAGAACAAACTAACACGATAAATTGGTTATTTCAATTAAAAAAATTGAAATAAGAAACTTATGGGCAAAGGATAATCAACTTTTAGGATTGAAAAATAATACCCCATATAGAGTGACAAAGTTTTTAAGAAAGGAAATGAAAGGTAAATCCATAACTTACAAAAATGATGATGCTAAAACAAATTAAGAGTGAATATAATATGCAAAAAAAAGACCTTATCTCTTTTGTAGCTCAGAGAAACATTATTCACTTTAAAAGAGAAGTCTATAAATGAAATTTTACACTTCAAATAAGAAACTAATTTAAGATAGAACAGTTAAGAAAATCTGAAACAAAATTGAAACTTTTAGAAAATTTCAAAACACAATTTTTTCCAAAACAAAAGAGGGAAAAATATAAAACACTTTTTTAAAGCATTGTCACAGGGCAATATATATATATATACACACACACACACACACACACATATATATATATATACATACATTTATACATACATACATACATATATATATATATATATATATATATATATATATATATATATATATAGACACACACACACATATATATATAAAATTATATATAATTATATGTAGAGGATTAGATTGATATATACATACACGTACCGCACACAAGGAAGACGACGGTTAAGAGGCAAACTTTGTTGAATGTAGCCATAATTATTTCCAAGCAATTCAATCTTTGGGATGATAATTATTAGAATTATGAGGTAATTTAATGTATATAGAACGAAATGAAATTATAGTACGTATGTTTTTATTTTGATTTCACAAAATGAATTGCATGCATGTTGCTATTTATAGCACAAAAAAAAGTCAGCGTGAAGACTAGTATTCAAAGAAATACAAACATGCCTACGTGTGATAATTATCATATATACTTCAATTTTCATTTATGAAGTGTCACATCTTAAATTTTCATTTTTCTAATTTCATTTTTCTAATTTCTCTAGGTTTAAATTTTAAAAGTTTTTGAATCTTAAATAATCCAATATATTATATGTACACTCTTCCCCACATCTCATTCATTGTGTTGTTTGTGGATCATTCTTGCTTTAGCTTGAACAAAAACTTATATACTAGATCAAATTAAAGTGATCCATAAAAGCTTAATCTGTTTATTGATATATTTTTATTGATTATTTGATTAAATTAAATATTTTTTTCAAAATTATTAAAATTTTGACAAAGCTTCCTTACCTTCTTATATGTATTTACTTCGTAAATTCTATTTTGTAATTAGAGTAAGTTTTATTTCAAGGCCAGCCAACGTTTGACTTTGACTTTTGCGCGCGAATTTAAATAAAAAAACTAATAAATTATATTCATTAAATACACCATGACGCCACAATTGTTCAACCATACGTCTTTGACTTGTATTCTCCCATTCTTAAATAGAAGTCCTTCACAAAATTTTTAAAAAATTGTTCAAAAAAAAAAACCTCTCGATAGAATTTATTTAGAGGCTAGATAGGAACAAAAATATTACTCAATTCGTTCTAAACATTCTTCTCAGCCATTTTCACACGGTTAAATTTTTAATCACTTTCTTTACTTATTTTCGTTAGTTATTTGAAAAAATTATATAATCTTATCAACTCTTGTTTTGTAGAATTTTTTATGTAGTTTTTAAATATATAAATTTTTACTTTTCAATTTTACACTTACAATCAAATAAATTAAATTAAAAATTAAGTCGGTCAAACTTTATAAAGAGAAATGAGAAGCCAAAAGTAGCTATTTACTTGATTTCTTTATGAAAAAAATGAGAGCTTATTCTAATATAGCTGAAAGTAGAAAGAAAATTTTATATAGGGAACTTATTATTAATTTCATCCATCACAATCCTTATCTTTTTAAAACGTTTCCAAATAAATATTCTAAGCCTAGGGTTGACAAAAAGAACATACCTAACATTACGTGCCTGTTTGGGAATAGTTTTAGAGATTATCGTTAGCGTTTTAAAAAGGCTATCTACGGATAACGTAGCGTTTAGCGTTTTCAAATTAATCCGCACCGTTAAAATTTTATCCAAAACAATAATGTTAATCCCAAACACTATTTCCAAACAAGCCCTGCCCCAAGTTAGATTTCTTTAAAATTGAGTGAAGTGTTTAAAAAGTGAACAATAAATTTTGTTTTGATGAAAGATAATTCTTAGAATTTTCCTCTTCTAATAAAAATCTAAATTAAATGTGAAGCTTTTTTCATCTAAAAAATGAAAACTTTATTATAGACAAAAAAATTTGCATTATTTTTCAGCTCGATATGATATAATAACAATGCTTCTGCCACATGTCCACATATGGCGAGTGAATGTTCTATATTTGGTCAATTACTATTTGCTCCATCCAATTGACCTATTCGCAATATAATGAATTCAAAAAATTTTAAAAAATGTTTATAAAATTATATTAAAAAACAAAACACGACCGAGTGAGAAATGTTACAAAGCATGTTTTTTCCCTAACAAAAAAAGAAAAAAATGTGATACAGAGTAATATGTTGACAATTGAGACAAAAAAATACTCCATCTATTCCAAAAGATTTGTCACATAATGCAAAGCGAAATAAAAGTTTATGTTTTTCCAATTCATTTTATTTAAATACTTGTACAAAAATAAAAAAATAAAATTTACATATCTAAAAACTACGTCAAAATTTCTTCGAAACAAAAGATGACAAGAATATTTTATTTTATCATATAATGGATAAAAACATACAAATAAACAAAAATTTCGTAATTTTTGAATAGTGAATTGTGTCATTCTTTTTGGGATGATGAAGTAAGTACTGGTAACGCCCTGGCCCCCATCTTGGTTGGAAGTGTCCGGTCATATGATTCTAGATTGGCATGAATAGTACTATCAATTCTTTTAACTTCTTTTCATTCCATGTTAACATGGGGTTTTATGGTACTAGCTCTAATAGACAACTTAGTATATATCGATATAAATTAATTTAGAGAAAGAGGGGTGAAGAATGAAGATATAGAAATTGTAGTTCAATTTTTAATATTGTCACTTCAATTTTTAATATTGTCACTTCAAATTTCAATTTTTGCACTTCAATTTTTAATATTGTGACTTCAAATTTCAATTTTTGTACTTCAATTTTTAATATTGTCACTTCAAATTTCACTATTTACTTTCTCACATGCATAGTGAGAATATGCATTGAAATTTATAATTCAGCCCATTAATTATAAAGCCCACCCATTAGTGAAGCCCAATAAAAATAATGATGTGCCCACCAATTACAAAGGCCCACCAATTTGTTTCGTCTCGAGTCTCGACGTACAGCAGAGTCCTCCTGGCAGAACTGATCTGACCGCGGGGGCAGTTTCGTCTTTGTACAATCTTTCTTTTCATTTTTCCTAAATCTTTCTTTTTCTGAATTGAGAGAAAAAAGAAAATCACTGTCGGAAAAGAGGGACCGGAGATCCGGTGAAGAAGAAGAAGAAAGAAGAAGAAGCCGGAGAACATTCTTCCACTGTCAGTTGAAACTTACCTCATTTGCCCTCATTTCTCCCACTTCATCGGCAGCTTAGATCTGCACGGGTCGTCTTCTACATACGTAAGCTCGATTTCTGTTGTTCAAACCCTAATTTTCTTTAAGCGTATCATTCAGTATGTTTTACAATCTACGTAAGCTCAATTGTTTGTTATCGTGTTCCATTATTGTTTTTTCAAGATTTGGAACCTTAATTTTATGTAAATGTATGCTTATGAATTCATTTTTCGTGAAATTTGCAGATGGTTCTTGCTCGGTGGAGTAGGTTTTTCTCATACGGTCGGGAGTAGTAAAAAAGAGATTTGTTTGAGTTAGGTAATTGCTCTTTATCATTGAATTCGCAAGTAGTTTTAAATGGTTTGATGAACTTGATGCAGACCTTTTTCTGCGAATTAGATGAGAATTTTTGACCTTTTTATTGGAATAAAAATGCTTTTACTGAGCTGAAAATTGCCAGTTTTTTTGGTTTTACAGAGTTAATAATGCTTCTATTAACTGGTTTAAAACTGCCCAAACCGTCCACAAGCTACTCAAGCCAATACAAATGAATGGTGCTTTGGTTTCTATTAATCCAGAAAAATTCCTGTTTTGCTTTCAAAAACTTGCAAAACAATGTTTTCTTTGTTTTCTTCTTCTGTAGCTGTCCAAAATGCTAATATGAGAAGGCAACTGTGTGTGACTTGAAATTGATGAGGAAATTACTTTTCAATATATCGTTTGTTTGGTTGTTATGGTGAAAAGGAAGGAATTTTTGAGATGGGAGGGGGGGGGGGAGAATGGAAGAAAAATCATAGTATTTCAATTGCTAGTATTACTTTACATTTTCCTCTCCTTTTATTTTCCTTTCTAAGAAAACACCAAAACTGTTTTTCCTTATCATATTCATTCTTTTCCTTTTCGAAATATTTGAACCAAACAGAGTGTAAGACTCTAGAGAATGAACAACTAAGTTATTAAGGCCAAGTGAACCACTAAAAACAGCCATAACATGACCACAATTTCTAGGGTGTCAGAAGCTTCAAATTACGGACTACACCAGAAGTTTCTTAATCTGGACGTTTCACAGTTTATGTTCTATCGGTGAACTAATAAACTAATCCACAGAGTTAAGAACTAGCTTGGGTCTGGTTTAACTGCCTCTGAAACTATAATTGCAATAATAGCTAGCCTCAAATGGTAACTTAAATAAATATGAAAAATTAAACATAAAAAAGCATTATGATCGGTAGTTTCACTTTATTCTACTCCCTCCGTCCCTTAATTATCGTCCTCTTTCGAACAACGTAGGGAATTCCATCCTTTTTAAAATTGAGTTTATTTACAAATTGATTTAGAAATAAAAAGCATAACTTACATATTTCAAAACCACATCAAAAGTTCTACAAAGCAAGTGGTGACATGGCTATTTTATTTTATCAAATGATCAATGAAAATGATACGCAAACAAAAGTTATTGGAACTCTCTAATAGTAAACAGAACGATAATTTAGGGATGGAGTATGTTTTAGAACTACAATGATATCTCATATTTGGTTTTGTTCGGTTTTACTTCGTATTTGGTTTCATGCGTAATTTGGAATGATATGGTCATTAGTTATGACATAATAATACTTGAATGGAATTTAAGTTTTATTCTTTTGACGTTGTAAACAGCCAGCAGCATACCATCTTCTTGTTAATTACACACACACATACAAACACACACACACACACATATAATTTTCAAATTAATATTTAATTCTTGGTCCAATTAAATATTATGATAATTTTAATGTCACATAAATAGATACCTCAAGTAGTTGGGATTAAGGTGCTGGTAACTATGATGACGAATAAAGAAAGTGAGAGCATTCTTTAGGGACTTAGGCAGTGCAAAAGATCATCAATACTTTAACTCAATATCTAGTGGAAGCTTACTATTAGTAGTTATTTTGTTGGTGAAAGTTTCATGTTGGTTGTGTTATAATGCTTACCGTGCTAGAATTACTATTATTATGTGCAGACTAACAAAATGTATCAACCAAATGGGGTCTCTACTTCAAACATGTTACCCAGCAACACTGTCGGCGTTCAATCTTTAGACACTTGCCCGAACACAATGGATCCAATCAGTGGTGGGGACAACCTCAACAACAATATGAGTCTTGCTTCAAAACAACGTCTCCGCTGGACAAATGAACTTCATGAGCGATTTGTTGATTCTGTGGCACAGCTTGGTGGACCGGATAGTGAGTTTCTTGTTTTCCTATTCTTGTTGTGCTGTTATTTTCCAACTCGTCTTCTTGATGCTAATATACTAGTCCATCAAGGTACAAGTCTTTAATATTGGTAGGGAACAACTCTTGTGAATACTTGAATCCCACTTGTTGGAATAAGAGTTTTTGGGACAGATGTTAAATAGAATTGAAAGGTTATTATTTTTTCCTAGCCAAAAACATTGATTTTGAGCATAAGTTTTTTTTGTTAAAAAATTATCTTTTCCACTTCAGGAGTATGTGAAATATGCATCATGCTAGTGCCATCACTAGAAGTAAGAGAAATATTACTGTGTGAAACTGCCTTCTATCTATGAAATGTATGAAGTATACTCAGTTTAAATATTTGGAATATTGATGTAATGGTTCAGGGGCTACTCCTAAAGGTGTCCTGAGAGTTATGGGCGTGCAAGGGCTGACAATTTACCATGTAAAGAGCCACTTACAGGTAGGCCATGTGAAACAATAATTTTGATATCTGCAAATATTTCTTTTGAACACAGAAAATGCTAGGGACAAGGTAAATATGCCAAGTCAAATACTTGTAGTTTTTATATGTGTGTTTTACCTAAAAAAACACCAAAGGAAAATCAGTTTTGATTTGGACTTTTAAAACTTTTACATTTATTTGTATTTTTTTGTTTTTATATAATAGAAATATAAAAACTATAGAGTATAACCATAATGAGTTTGATTAAATATATAAAAATGATTCATTGAGTTTGAACCATTTTTTATTATTTGCCCAATTTCTTTTTTTTTCCTTCCAAATTTCCCCTCAATATTCTTCCCTATTTTTTCCTTATATTTTTGGAGTTCCTCTCTATGCTTTTCATAGCTCCTACTTAATTATTTATGCCTCGGTGCTTGCAGAAATATCGACTTGCTAAATACCTTCCTGAATCCTCCTCTGATGGTAAGCAGTTTACCTGGGTTTGGAAAGAAAATGATAATGATTCTCCATTAGAACTACATTCATTATTTTTTGGTAAATGGCTAATCACCAGGGAAAAAGGTTGACAAGAAAGAACCAAAGGATATGATCTCGGGTTTAGATGGCTCATCGTGAGTGGTTCTTATTTCCTTTATCTAAGATCCTCCACCTCTGTTTCCTATTCAGCGTTATCTTTGATCATGACAAAATCATCCCTGTTTAACAGTGGATTGCAAATTACTGAAGCACTAAAGCTGCAGATGGAAGTGCAAAAGCGACTACATGAACAACTAGAGGTTTGTTTTCCTTCACATTTCAGCATTGGTATACAATTATTTTACTCCATAATTTTCTCTACTCTATAGCCATCTCACGCTATTTTTTGCAAGTGAAAAAAAACCCAAGTTTCAAATATAGTATTTGCCGTAGTAGGAAGGTTCTAGACCTTTTTATGTCCATAAATTTATGTAGTTGACTTATTAGTTATTTTTATAAATCTCAAGCAACAGACCATCCCAACACAGTTAGGATTTGGTTGTTGCGAATGTGGTTGGTGATTTTTACAGTTTTTTATGTGAGACTGACAATGCCTCGAATCACACAAGTTGTCTCCTGTTTTTAAGCCATATTTGAATCTTGGAAAATACTATGCAAAGAGAATATGGTAGAAGGGAGGAAAATTGAGGGGAGTAAAACTTATGTTTATGCCATTAAATGTTTTTTTTTTTTGTTTTTTTAATATATGAAAAGATATATTTACACAACTGCACAGTCTGCACCGCTTTTGGACTTACACCACTAACACTGTTTATTTCATTGATTAAAGAAACTTGGTTTATTAAGTCAATTAGCCAATATTAGCCATGTCCGCTTAAAGGGTACAATAATTGGTGTGATAGTGGTCATCAAATTGGATTTTCTTCATAATTTTCGGGATAAAACTATAAACACTACAACAATATAAACAAACCCAGAAAAAC